ATATTTGGTGAGTAGAAGAGTGTATTGTATTATTATAAGTAAACTTTGCCAATGACAAAAGCATTGTCCAATTATCTTGTTGATAGTTGATGATACACTTCAAATATTACTCCAAAATTTAATTAACACGCTTTATCTGTCCATGAATTTGAAGATCAAAGGCCAAAGATAATTTTATATCTATCTTTAAGATCTTAAAAATGGTTGTCCAAAATCTTGATATAAATTGAGTCCATAATAAAATCCATAGAAATAGAAGACTATGGTTGTTTGAATATGGATAATAGTTGGAAAAGTCCATAGGATTGCTGATGAAGAGTTTTTGACCTTAACCAAATGTCACATGGATAAACAAAGTCTTTCATTGCCTTTCAAATTTGCAGCCATCAAAAATCTCTAGATATAAGTTCCAAAGTTTTGTTATATTTAAAATATCTACTTGTTGGAAAGTCATAACATACTTGAAAAACACGTAGATATGCTTCTCTTTCTAAAATATATAAGTCTCCTTTAAAATAGAGTAGTTTGTTCTTGAACTCAAACTTAAAAGAATCATGAGACTTAAAAGAATGATTTTTAATATCATGAACAAGAAGATCACATAACATACTTGATTGAATTTGTTTGACAAAGGTTGAATCAAAAATCAATGTTGATTTTATTATTTGAAGATGAAAATGCTCTTGCTTCAAGGAAATCATTCTTTGTTAATCAAATGATATATTTTCTTTTTTTGGTACAAGATAAGAATATCTAAAAAAGCCATCTAACAAGCCTTGTTTTCTTTTAAATTGATAAGCAAATTGAAAATCAAATCTTAACAAAGATATGCTCTAACAAGCTTCGCAACGATTCAAAATATGTGCTGACATAAAATATTTAAGATTCTTATAGTTCCTATAAATAATAGTTGAATTAGAAGCACCTCCTAAATAATGGCACCATTTTTAAAATGAATCCACAATTACAAGAAGTTTATTATTGTGAATCTTCTAGTTGATCTCGACTATTAAAATATTTCTTGAATGAAAAGCTACTAAATGAAGTTTATCATTTGTTCTCATTTGTGATAATACAAGACCAAAAGTAAAGTCCAGTGTTTTTATTTCTATAAAGAATGGCTTAAAAAAATTGACGCAATACAAGATTAGTGCAAAAAATAAAGATTGTCTTACAAATAACATACTCATCTAAAAATTCTTGAAAGACATCATTCATTAGATTTTGAAAAGCTGATGGTGCATTTGTAAGCCCAAAAGACATGATGTTATATTCAAAATGTCCATATTTAGGTAAAAACACTCTCTTCCATTCATCTCTTTTTTTAATGCATATCAAATTGTATATTCCTTATAGATCTATTTTTGTATAGATCTTAGCTTAATTCAATTAATCAAGAAGTCCAAATATCAAACTTAGTACGTACTTATTCTTGATGGTGATTTTTTGAGTCCTTGATAATTAATATATATTCATAATGATCCATCTTTTTTCTTCACAAATAAAATTAGAGCTCTTGCTGGAAGTTTGAAATGGCGTATGAAGTTCTTGGCCAAATTTTCTTCAATATACTCCTTAAGTTCAACTAACTCATTTTATAATAGACTATAGATTGGTCCAAATAGTGGTTGAATTCTTTCTTAAAAATCAATTGAATAGTCATAAGAATAATATTTAGAAAGAGTATTTACATTCTTCTTCCAAATATATCTTGATAATCTTGATATTGGCTTAGAATGTCTCTTGAAGTCTTTCCACCATTAGAAATAGGTGTAGCATAAATAATACAAGGTAATCCTTCTTTTACAACATGCAAGAAAGTTCTTGCTTCTACAAATACAGGTTTAGTTATATTAAACTTACGACTTTTTATTTAATTAATTATACTCTTATTTATATTTTCAAAAAAATCAAGTCTATAAAAAATCTAATCTATATTAGGATTATATTTTTTTAATTATAATAAACTTAAAATAACTAGATTAGAGAGAGATCTAATGATAATAAATATTACAAAGCTACTATGATTATTAGTTGTTACTTTTATAGGAAGGATTTCATAAGTAACATCTCTTGAATATAATAGATGACCATCTATGACTTCTACATGAACAGTTTTAGTTTTCTTTCCTAAAGATAATGTCTTTTAGCAAATTCCTTATTTAAGAAACATACTGAAGCTCCTAAATCTTACAAGGCAAAGGCTTCATGATGTTTAGGTCCTAAATTAAAATTTTTTGTAAAACAAGGAGAGAGTTTTAATGAGAGAATAGGACCTTTACTAGGTGTTGTACAAGGTTTCAGCCGCACAATCCCTATTGTAGTTGGACAAACTTATTTTTTGACATATTATCTTCTTTGACATCCATGCTTTTTATTTTTTAGTTGTATCGCTTCTTTGAACAATATTAAGCAATGTGCTTAGATTTTCTACAATATAAGCATAATCCTTCCTAATAATAATAAGTCTTTTTTTGCTTAGTAAGAAGTTTGAAATATACCGCATCAATTTACATATCCTCTACTTTTGAATATATGTATTGAAGAGACATTGGTGTTGCTATTGAATTATAATAATATTGAGGTACACTTGTGCAATTCTTAAATCAAAATTTAAAATGTCAATTATCATTTTTTACAACAAAGTCAATTCTTTTAACTTAATGTTTGAGAATCACATAACTTTAACATCAATTTTTTGACCTTATATTGTAATCTATAGAGAAATTTGCTAATAAGTGCAACATCATCCTACTTGATATCAGTTGCAAGTTGTCAAAACTTTGAAGCATATAACATTACTAATTGATTGCTTTATTGGAAAATATAGACTTTGTTGGTTGCAATACGAATTGCATCATATTCTCTATATATGGATCAAAACTCAATCAAAAAAGCCTCTAGATTATCCAATATTGGATCTTGTTGTTCAAAAAAAGAAAAAAAACTATGATAATATTGAATTTGAAAGAAGTATACCAATAAATCTAATTTGCAATCCTAGAGTTGGATAGCTTTGGAGTTGAAGTTCAATCATAAGTTGTACTTGATTGATAAATCTTCAAATCTTAGATCTTGTGCCACCAAACTTCTCGGGCAATGCAATCCTTGATTCTCTAATACTAGAAGAGTGTTCCATCATAGGAAAAGGAACATGATTTGATGCAGATGTTAAAATAGCTCTAATCATCTCTATATTTTTTTTTTGTGCCATTCTTCTTTCTCCTTGTAGTAGTAAATTGAGTTGATGTATTGCAAGCATTAACTTCTTCAATTGCCTTTGTATTTGTGCCATTGAAGTCTTTATTTCAAAAAGTTTTGCCATGATAATACGTAAAAAAGAAAAGATGTCTAATATTGCTCAAGTCAAATAGAAGAGAGAACTTGAGAATGAAGAAAATACTAAAGACTATATCATTCTAGAAGAAGGTAATCTGCAACTTCTAGTATGCTTATGTCTTATGAAGAAATAGAGGTAATCCACTCTTAATCGAGAAAAGATAAAGCTTTGATATTGTAAGTATATTCTTGTGAATTTGTCAAGGACAAGAATCCAATGAAAGCAAATAACCAAGTGAGACTTTTATGAAAAAAAAATTCAAAGAAGTATGACAAAATAGAAGTAAAAAAACATTTATATTAAAAAGAAACTGGAATGATTATTTCCAAAAGATAAGAAAACTAAAGACTCTTGAATCTAAAAGATATTATGAAATGAATCTACTTTTATCTACTTTTACCTACTTCTATTTAATCGTATAAGTAATTATTAGAATAAGTATTTATATCGGTGACACCACACCAAGCTTGTCAATAATGAAGCATAGTATTGGTTTAATTAAGATAGGAGTTGAATGATTTTTTTTGGACATGGTTTCTTTGACAAATTAAAAAGAAGCATGGACTAATATCATGACAAGCATATTTTGAAATACCACCAATTTAGATCCTATTTTGATTTTTTAGCAAGACAATGTTCTAAATTATTTAGCCAAATCTATACAAAAGTGGTTCAAATTACAACTTTTTAAGTTTGTATGTGGCTAGCTCTATTACTATATCTAATTCCTATTGAGCATTCTAAAATGTTGCTTGAACATTTTGACAAAGCTCTAATATGAATGTCAAAATTGTAAGAGTAAGTAGTTGGTGTCCTATACAATCATTACTAAAGTGATAAAAATAAAAAAATAAAAAACTTTTATAAAACCACGCCCAAATGTTTTACAGCAATTTTAAAAGCTTAAGGATGTTAGACCAAACTGTGAAGTTTGATTTTCTATTTTCTACAAAATTGTATTTTTGGACTAGCTTTGCTTCAATGGCCATATACTATCATGTATTAGTACTAATATTGCGAGGATGTATAAAACTGTATATAACGTTATTTTCAAGTTTCAATTTTTGGTTGTATTTTACACTTTTGAAGCATCTTGTGTTGAATTTGATGATGAAAGCTCTGTACTCAATTTGATGAGTCACATTATATTTGAACTTTTACGAAAATCAAATAATCAATCATCTAATGGTACAACCAAAGTACCATATTGTGATCCTGTGTACTGTTACCGTTGCTTCTGCTTACAACTCGCATTTTCATCGCATACTTTCCCTAAGGTCCAATTATTTAAGCTGCTTGCAGTAGAGATGACGGAGGTGAAGTTGGTTTGATGCGGAAAAGACATAAATAAGCCGGCTTCGCTTGTGACTGACATGGTTGTTGAAGTCTAATTCATGCGCAACTTAAGAAGGCAATGTCTGTGGAGAGAAGATTATAAACATTCTATTGGTCCCACACCACCTTCAGAAATCGCACAAAAGAAAAAACTGCAACTTTCCTCTTTTGAAAATTGCACCTTCTAGTTAAAATGTTCATGCCTCCTTGTCCCCGTTTGCCAAAATCTTTAACACTGTTTCACCTACCTCGAAGTGCTAGTTCAGCTCTACACTCTAGAAATGAACAATTGCTAGGTAGAAATCTAAATACTGAACGAAATTGCTGGTACAAAACACTCGAAGACTGACAATTTTGCAAATTCCCTTTGTCAGCATCACGCAAAAATCAATATATGATAAATACTGTTACTTCAAATCGTTATGTCACTGCAAGAATGACTATCTATCATAGAAAGAAAAATGATTCGTATGTGTTTCTTCATACAGCTAGTTACTAGAGCCTAAATGCTCAAGATGCTAATCGATATCCTCATTCCCTCCCCCTTTTGCTTCCTCTCTTACCACCCCTAAACCCTCCTCTGTTACCTCCGGGAGATCCTCCTCTTCCTCCTCTGTAACCTCCAGGAGATCCTCCTCTTCCTCCTCGCCTACCACCTGCGGATCCGCGTTGGTTCTTAAATCCTCCTCTCTTGCCTCCTGGAGATGCATCTCTTCCTCCACTATTGCCTCCTCGGGAAGCGCCTCTATTACCCCCTCTACCTCTGGAGGCACCCCTCGTACTGGCTCCTCCATTCGCCACATCCTTTGTGTCCTTGTGTCCAGTGGACTTTTTCGGTTTTCTTGAGGAAATCTCCTGTTCGTCATTATCAGAGTCCAATTCCGAGCCACTTCCCAAAACCTCGTTATCATCATCCTCGTCCATTTCATCCGCATCTTCGTCAGATGAAGACAGCACCAGGTCTTCCACGCGGTCCTCATCCTCGTCGTTATCACCATCAGCAGCTTTTGTAATGACCACTTTATTTTCAGATTGGCGTCTGTACAGGTAAATTCACAGCTCAGTACATGCAGAGCTTCGAAGGCCCAAAGCTAACACTAGGATATGACTGATAAACCAAAAATAAAATTAGACATAATCACATAAAGAATGTCATTTTGCTCCATAATTAATGACACGCATAAAGCAACAGGTATGTGTGTATGTGCGAGATCGAGAGAGAGAGAGAGAGAGAGAGAAGCAATATGATGAGATGTTAGAACCTGAAGTCAACCTGTTCTACAGAAGTCAACGTAAAAGCATTAAACCCGTAAGGTGACGATCCAAAAATACTGGATGGCTACGATATGACTACACTTGTACTCAAGCATGGATAGGGCGCAGATTAGTGACTCACTCTGATGCTTTCTTGGAAGGTAACCAGTCATTACTGAATGCCTTAGCTCCCTCCTTAACTACCGTCTCGTCATCTTCTTCGTCATCGCTATCTGCAACCCGCTCGTTGTCCCCTCCAACCACCACACTGCAACAACAAAAGGCATGGTGTTAAACTCCAGCGTCTCAAGACAACACTGTGCAGTGCGTGAAGAAAACCAAGACAATTTGTGAGAAAACCACCCAGTGCTGCATATCAACATTGTTCCAAAAACGAACCTGGATGTACGAAGGGCAGCCTGCCGTTGTGCAGCTCGTTGTTGCAGAGAAACAGAAAATTTCGACAGTGGACTGGAGCCTGCCTTTTTATCTTCCTGAGCAAAATAAGCGTATTCCTAAGAGTATTGAATCTATGGTAAACATTTTTTTGTGTTGAACACTGGCAATGAATTGAATGATGCATTCTACCGCACATGCGTGAAATGTTAGAACAAAGGCAGAGTCGGACCTCCAAGAATGACGAAGCAGAAGAGATATCCTTCGGGGAGAACGAAACACCATCACGCTTCTTCCCCACATACTCAACGTTACGCTCGATCTAGAGAAAATCACCACAGTGAGCAATCTGAAGCGAACTCAACACCATTGAATTTTCTCATTATGTATCCGCTTTAATCTTCTCTTAAACAATTTTCATGTCATCATCATCACATGGAATTTGCAACATGTGCACAGGCATATACTTTGTCTGGCATGTAACAACCACACGTAGTTATCCACATTTAAAGCTTTGCGTAATAATCATTGTCTGATAATCAGTTCATCCCCAGAACTGACCTGTTCCACCAACTGCTTGATCAATTTGCGAAACCGGTCCACTTTAATCTCCTTCAACATTCGCCGAAGTTGCACAAGCGGTACCACAGACAGCTCAGGGAATGCAACGGAGTAACTGTTTTGAGCCAGGTGCTCTGTCAGCTGCTCAATAACTCCTGTTACACAATCGTCCTGGAAGGCACGTGTCTTCACTGCTTGCTTAGGGACCTGCAAAAGTGGAAAAATAACGAAACCAAATTCAAGTTACAATCATACTGCATAACATAAACTTAACATCATAGCTCTAGTAGAATAAATTTTGTAATCATAAGGCCTTGGAATATACTCCAGATCTGGTCGCTTCAAGCAAAGAATGATAATTCTTTAGATAGTACAAATACTTGACCGAGCTAAGGATGAGAACAAAGAAGGTAAGTGTGACCTCGTTACGAAAAAATATATAGCACCTTTATCATCGTTGAAAAGTCAAGACCCTTTCCAACCCCGCCAGTTGGACTCATGTGCAAATCTTTGAATTGTAGCATATCCAAGAGAAGAGATGCAACTGGAACAAACGCATCAGTGGCAGCCGAAAGCCTGTTGAGCATACGAACGCACTGAAGACGTAATGGAAAATATCGAGCTGTTGGTACTAACCGCGCCACACCGTCGATGACCTGCGATAATGGATACACTAGAGGACGCAGCTGTTCCTTGTATGTGGAGAGCACCCTTACCCAAACGTTCAACGAATTGATATACTGCCATCTATACACTTGTTTGAATGCTTCCTGCATAATCCGTCCAGAACACATTTTCAGAAACCCAACAGAGCAACAGCAACTCCAAACTCTTTCAGAAACCCGAAAGCTTCCTTACCTGTGACCTCACAGGAAATGGGAACATGACATACGAGAAATAATCATTCGACGAGCAGATTAACCAAGAGAATTGGAAGAACGTTGTTTAACATACCAGTCCATCTCAGGGAACTAATAACTGTTACAGAGACAGTTCGAAAAAAAAAAAAAAAAAAAAAAGGGACGAATGGCCTCTAATTTGAATGCAACCAATCTCAAATTATTCTTAAAATGATGTGCTCCAAACAATCGTAGAATTCATAACTACGTCTCCTGGTCCCTCGTTCTTCAAGTTATCCACACATAATGGTTAAAGTATTAAAAAAACGTGCGAGAATTACAACATACCTTAGTTTTCATGGTAAGTGCATTGCGAAGAACAATTGCCAACTGGCGAATAAAGATGAAAGCATGCTGATATGAAGATGCTGAATCGATACCATAGAGCTCTACAACACAGCTTGCCATGAAATGTATTCTTGGAAGAGATGTTGGATTAACAAATCTGGAATTTGCCACATACTCTTTATACATGCCTTTAAGGCATACCTCCAAGTAATCCGATCCTAAACGCAAAGCCATCTCTCGAATAAACATAAACGACAAAAGTGGAAGAGCCCCTTCACCGCTACCCCAAAAATGTAGTGCCACCTGCACATATAAGCAAAATTGAATCAAAATGAGAATGACACCATTGTAATCAGGTTTATCGAAACAGCTCAGAAACACGATCAATGGCACTTAAGTAGTGCCAACGGATTATGTCGATCAGCAAGGAACATATGCAAGATGAGCACAAATGTTAACATGCCGCCGAAAAGACATGCTGCTTCGATAAAAAGGAATTAGAAAGACATACCTTCATATATCTTCTCGCCAAAATGGGAAACGCGGCCAGAAAAATAACAGACGCTTTCAATCGCCGAACAGTAAAAGCTATCATCTGGTTGTCGGTCATTTGATTCAAGATATGCAAGGCGTTTCCTAAATAAGACTTTACAAAAGGCTCTAACTTCTTCCATTTTGATAATTTTTGAACCTCCACCGTTCCACTTTTATTCTCACTCATATCCGTCAAGCCAAGCATTTTCTTGAAAACCCCGTCTATTTCAAGAAGTACATAAAGCATGATCTTATTGAAAACATGACTGCTACTGATGTTATATTTAGAGCCCATGTCTTCCATTTCACCGTCCCCGTAATGGCAAGCTGTTCGAAAAGCCCGCAGGAGATTTTTAAGAGCTCCGACGTGTTGCTTTTCCTTGACAGCGGTACACCAGGTCTCAACCAAAGCTGTGGAGAGGCTGACGGTTGTACCATCCTCTAAAATTTGTTTCCCTTCAGATTCTAGTTCCATTCTATTCTTGTGATCCCCATCTCCTTCGGAATCCTACATGAATCATTACGATCATTGTTTTCAATTACTTGTACAGGAGACTTCAGGTTCTATTTGCCAACATACATTTCTGTACTACTCAATTTCCTCTATGAATGAAAACATGCTTTTTCAAAATCCACAATGCAGAAAAAAAAAGAAAACCAGAACTCGAGAGCAAATATTCGCACATTACTACTACAACGGAAGTGGATGCTGCATGGGCAACCGAGTCAACTTCATGTTACAATGCGATACTAATAGAACGGGGGACGAGAAAATGGTACCTCTGCATCTTCATCTTCATCTTCATCCTCAAACTCCAACAACTCCTTGTCATGGTCTTTCAAAAATTGATAAAACTCTGGATCCTGAAACCAATATGCAGGCATACGAGAACTTCAGACCAAGCATCTTCCGACGTTATCAAATATCAGACAAATTCCATCAAACGCTTCAACAGGACATAAAAATTGTTGGCCAAAAATAAATAAATAAATAAATAATTAGATACATGAGTGTACACAACCGGTTAAATGAAAACAATGTTCAAATTTCGTGGTAGTTATCAAAGTTTCATCAAATTCTCAGAGTTTCCAGTCGCAAAACTCCTACCTTCTGTTGCAGGCTTTCAAGTTGATGCTTGTGCTTAGAAACCTCAGACTTGAGCATTTTATTCTGTGAACCCAATCCTGACCCATCCTCATCCTCGTCTTCGGAATCATCATTATCTAGCGATTCAGCACAACAAGAATTCAGTGAGAGTGAGTATTTTGGCAAATGAATTTAACAAGAAGCGCAGGCAGACACGCTCATCAGGTGGGAGAACAACTCGTACAAAACAATCATGAAAGTAAAATAACGTTACCCATATCAGCATCAAGATCGGCGATTGCCTTTTCCAAATCTTCGTCATTCACATTTTCCTGCCAGTACAATAAGCTTAAATCAGCACTAACCACCACCGTAGGTCACAACTGATGTTAACTCGAGACTATGAACATGATTTCACAAGCCTGTGGAATCGTCGATAAATTTGATTTGTGTAGCAACAGTCAGAACTCAATTTCTTGATAAACTTATGAGAAGTTCGTGCTTAACAAACATCGGGAGCTCGTAACGTAGAGATACTATCCAGCCAAAAAGGTCCAATTACCCCATCTGAAAGTCCGTCGTCTTCAGAACCTCCCTCGTCTTCAGAACCTTCGCCTCCGTCACTCAAGTTATCAAGAAAGTCTCCTTCCATCAACTCATCGACAGTCATATCCTGAACCCTCCTGAGGTCATCATTCCATAAAGGTTCAGGAGAAGACCCACAATACTAGTATCAGTTGAGCCCTGACATTTACCTACGAGCAGCAAGAATGATTATACAATGAAGATACACGCAACCTGCTATCTCATGGATAGTGAACCTAAGCCTAACCCGATTGAAAGGAGATAATTCAACGTACTTCTTTCTACCTCCTCCATTCTCCACTTGACTCTTTTCAGTTCTTTCGATAGCTTGGTCTTCCGCAAACCCTGCAAACAAGATTACACATCAGACAAACATTCCAAAAAGTAGGTATCGTGAAAACTACAATAACGTCTCCTCCTTGGTGGTACATAGACAGCGTCGACAAATGCCTTGCAAACCAAGGTCAAAACTTCATTCAGCACCAAATTTTGCAAGTTCCCAACGACTTCTGAACTTATGCCCATCTACGCTTTGAATGTCACAGCAACAAGCGTTCACTCCCAATTCGCATCCTCACGCGACACAGTCTCAACTTCAATAAGAGACATTACCTGCAAGAAGAGCTCCAGCTTTTTTCTTCTTTATGGCATTTTTCATAGGCTTCAACTTCCGCCTCCGTGCTATCGTTGCCCCTAAGTGTTTCTGAGAGAACTTCTTTGTGCTCTTCGCCGCTTTCCCCATCTTGAACTGATTTTTCAACACAAATCCCTGCTAGAATGAATCCTGGCAACACCTAGTTTTGTCTGAATCTTTCCCTTGAAGCCTGGGCAAAATCCCGTTAAACCCTAAACCCTGCTTAAACCCTGTCCGCCCTGAAGGACTCCATTACGTGGACAAATCTTCAACCTGAACCAACTCAGAAGCGCAAACTTCCAAGGAGAGGCTCGACCCCACAAACAACTCTCACCATGAGGAGCAGCAATGATGTTAACTTGGCTCGAGATTTAGGTGCAGCGCCCCTGCATACCAACGGCGAAAAAACAAGGCAAGCGGTATATGTGAGTCTAAGCCCTAATTTACACAGCCCACCAGGAGGACGACAGTTCCAACTACAGAACTGTCGCCCTAATTTCTCAACTCCATCGAGGATGCAAGCCCTTCTTTGAGACAACACTAAAAAGGACTTATCTCACCACTAAAAGCTGACCGCTTTGATTGGTGTCTAAATTCTTACAAAGCTTCAATCAAATTGCCTACCAAATACGTGGATTCCACCATGGTTAATAGTAGAAAATACATTTAGTAATACTCATTTCAAAATTATTTTATTACATGAAAGAAACATTATAGCATTTTATTTAAATCATTTTAACTGGTTATATATACATATGACTGAATCAATCTTTTTATTACTTCTACTTAGTCCTTCGTTACTAAATATATATTTTGGAGTTCATAGAGTTAACTGAACTATTAAAGATTAAAATCCAATTTTAAGAACATATAATGAAGTAAATAATAGGAAGTTGTATCTTTTTGAAATGCATGTAAAAGTATTTTAATTTTTTTATTAAAACATTTTAAGAGTTCTATATTATTTTTAAATTAAATTAAATTAAATAACTTTAAGAAACAATTAGTTAATCTATGTAGATAGAAAATGGTATTATTTTGTGTAAAATGTATTTTGTTTTTGTTTTTTACACATTTTAGGATATACTTTAATATTCCATAAATATTAGCTAATTTTATTGTAGTATTGTTAGGCCAATCCTTTCAGTTGTTAATATATGTATTCATAGAAATATTTTGTGGTTGAAAGTTTTATATTTATTTAATTTTTAATGTTTCAGAAAAAAAAAAAAAAAAAAAAAAAAAAAAAAAAAGTGTTTTTGAAATTGCAATGATAAAGAATTGTATATATATATATATATATATATATATATAAACAAAAAACAAAAACAAATAAACAAACAAACAAACAGTTAGAATATAAACCCTAGTAGAGAGAATTTAGTTCTAATTACTAATATTGACCAAACTTTTTAAAATAATTTGCTTGATTTTAGATGTATCTACTTGAATATTAAAGGAATTTGTACAAATAATTTATAATTCCTAAACTAAGCCATCATTTTCTAACAATTTCTTTAATTTTTTTTCTTGTTTAAAATTTAAAGCATTCTTTTTAATTTTGCATAACCATAATTTTGTCTTTTAATGAATACCAACAAAATAATAATGTCTTTAATTATATGATATATAAGATATTATGACCAAAATCCGGTTAATTTAGTAAAAATTCCGGTCAACATATCAGTTCTCTTACTTAATTTAAATAAATCATAGATTATAGTTAACCATTATAGAGTGATTTCTTGATTTCAATTCTTCTTTTAGCATTAACATAAATTAAAATTAGAAGTCTAAATTTGAATTAATTGTTTATTGGTAATTTTATAAAATTTTATAACCTTTGTCCATATTTGGGAAATAAAGATAAAATAACTATTTAGAAACCATAATCATATGCTAAAATTGAAGAATTCACATCTTGTATTTTTATAAAATATATGACAAAGATAGAAGATACCATTTTAGATTAACAATCATGTAAATTAGAGTAATAAAAATAATATCTCTATAAATTATGATATTCTATTAATTAGACACACATATTAGTTTAATACTAATCAAATAATATAACAATCAAAGTCCTAAAAGGAAATATGAAATCAAAATCTATACAACTACAAAACAAAAGAATACAATTTAAAACCTACTCTAAATCCAAAAATAGATTTGAAGACACTAAACTTGATTATTTGGCGATAGTAATTAAATACGAAAGGGCTCAATGTAGAACAACACAGCATTTAACGTAAATTAAATTGATTTCCTCATAAACCATTGTCCATCCAAAGAACAGAATCTTAAAATTCATAATAAGACTCTCTTATTTGGATAGACACTGGAATTATATAATTACACACATTCTTGTCACATATATTCAACCACATGAATTGAATGCACATCATCAACACACTTGATTAAAGTTTTGAAATAAACAAACCTCTTAAATTAAATGCCACTTCCTTACTATTGTTTGATAGTAAGTATTACCCAAATACGTATCTCTAAGAGATTTCATGTATGTGTCCCATTTGCAATATTCCAGTGGATGTCCTCAACCTGAAATATTATTCAGCCCTAATCTGCGTTTAGATCTTGCGGACTCAAAACGAAGGGGGTTGAAACTGGTTGGCAGCGCACAATCCAGCCTGCAATTCTGGAATCACTTATCAACGTCATTTTGGAAAGCTCACACTCTGCATCGAGGAAAGACCATAAATGATGGACCAAGTCATATCAAGTAGTGCAGGTTCAATTCAATCAGAAAATCAGGACTCAGCCTGCTGTAATGCTATGGAACACGGCAGATTGACCTTATTCTCAAGCCTTACTCTGCAAACGCCACCCCTCTTCTTAATTGTGCTCTCTACCGCGCTCAGTTTATGTGGTTGAATGAATGTGAGCCTGTAGCTCAAAGATCTATAATGTCCATTGTCTTTTTTGCAAATTGTGTTGGAGCCGACAGTCCCGTGCTTGCTTGGCTTGTGTGACGCAAGCAATTAGGTCCAGCCACTGAAGAGCCCCTGTTCTTCATTGACGTTTTCCATTCAGATTTGGACTCAGAAAGAATAGAATACGGTTCATCGCGTATCTCACCCCTCTAGTTATTCTGACTGGACATGGTCACTAACAGATCAACGGTGCAGTACATAAGTACTTGCAGACGAGCACTTGGTTGTTGCTAAACGAAATCGCGAATTCTGGACGACGCTGATCAATCCAGAACGGAGCGCAATTAGAGTAAAGAGCATGCGATCAGGAGTGACAAAGTTCAACCTCGAAAAAACATTCATATCCTGTCCTTGTAACAAGCATTTATTCCTTTAACGAAGTGGTGAATGGAAATACTCGGGCTTGAAGCTGAGCACTGGAATCTTGTAGAATCGAGGCGGTCGATGGTGACCTGACGGGAGGCTCAATTTCCTCAATCCAGCACAGCCATTGATTCAAATGAATGTCCTCGATCACAGCGACAATGTCATTGATCCCAAAGACCGTCATCCTGCTGCCGATCTCTGCTGCTTCAAAGGTGCCTCTTCGGAGCTGGAAAGGCCGGCATGAGCGCAGACAAAGCCCAGCCTCAAATAGAATGAAATGGGAGCACGTCGCGGAGCTGAGCCAGCCCTCGGCAAATTGAACCACCGACCTGGAAATTGTGCGGCGTCAGGAATCGTAACATCAGCCTAAAACGCAGCGGGAAAAGCATCCAATCACACTCTTGTTAGACTGCAGTCGGTCTTCACGGGCCACACGAAATACCTTTTTAATACCTGGAATGGCAAAAAGGAGGGAATATTTTTCCAGCTCAGCAAACAGAGCGCCATATCATCCACCGTGCGGGGGACAAAACGTTAAAATAAACAAGTTGTGAGAAAGTTTCCCACGTGGATTAGCTGGGGTGGCTGGTGATAGGCGAACACGTCATTGGCTCATTCGCTGAGGTGTCAGAGGGGTTTGGGTATCGAATGCTCTGTGCGGATGAAGGATGAAAAAGTAAAAGCTCCGTTTGAACGACCGCGTCCTGGATTGGTCAACTACCATTCAAGCATCTTCTGCAGAGGAGTTTTTTCATTCTTTTTTGAAATGTTGTACACTATCTTAAATAGTTTACACTTCCAGTTAATATCCCGTCTGGAACCTTTTTCAATTCACACGTATGTGTGTTTGTATGTACGTATTCATGAAAATGTATTTTTGGGTACATCTTGAACAACTACACTAAACGTTTAATTTTTAGTTAAAAATGTTTCTGTGAACTTCACTTGGTATTTATTCCCTCAGATAATAGCTATTTTAAACAATAATTAAATCGAGGTGATTACAATAAGTTATAGTTAATGACTTTACTCGATGTTTATGTATACACATGTACATATGTGCACACTCTTGGTCACTACAAATATATCAAAATAATAATAACAATAATATAATAATAATAAAAATTGTCAAAATGTCAAAATGTTTGTCATTTTTGACAACCAATGTTAGTAATAACCTGCCTCGTGCATATTTTTCTAAGATTAAGGTCGGTATTTTAAGAAAAAAACAACAAATTATAATCAAAGATTTAAAGATGTTTTTTTTTACTCACAAGTCTCATTCAAAGGCTGAAAATTACATAAGTGCATAGTTTATTTATTTATTCAATGATTTGTATTTGTTTTTTTTACATCGTCATCCTTGTGCATGTATTTTTTTAATATAAAATAATATCAAGCAATTGATAAATCATGATATTTGTCCAAAAATATTGAACGTCACCTGTCTATATTCAAGAATCATTACATTTAACTAAATATTCGAATCTCTACTAATGTGCAAGGATTTAATATGTGTTGAGAATGTTTAGAAAGACACAAGAGTAGTAGTAAGTAATACACACATACATACAAGAGAGTTTCTAAGGAGAGAGAAAGCTTCACATACAAAATCTATTAATCTGGTTGTGTCTCGTATACAAAAGGAGAAGGAGAGAGGATAAACAATTTTTCTCCACTATATTCCAAATACTATAGCTATAGTATTTATTGTAGACTATAATAAATATCATAGAGAGTACTGGCTATATTTAATGCTCTCAACATTCGTCCTCGCTTATCATAATATTTATATAATATAAAATTTATATAGAATTATGATCTATACTTTTCTGTAATCTTGCAAGATCTACAATTATTGCCTCATTAAAACCTTACTTAGAAAAACCTTATTGTATTCAAAGGCAAAACCATAGATGAAAAAAAAAGAGTACAATATCATTTTTTCTAATTATTTAAAGAGTTCATTAACTTTCTTATTCAAGAAAAACAAGTTATTGCATATCAATGCTATAAGTAAGTCGACAATGGTTGCACAATGGCAAAGCTTTGGTGAAAAGATATCAAGGACAAGAACATGATAAAGACAAATAAATAAGTGAGACTTCTTTTAAAGAAAGATGACTAAATAGAAATAACTTGATATGTATATTAAGAAAGAAATTGGAATGGCTATTGCCAAAAGCCAAGAAAACTAGAGACCCTTGAAACTAGACTGAAAGCAAGAAAGGAATTGAAAGGAGTAAAGAAGGCTTCACTCTTGTTTCTATATATACTATCTTAGTAGAGGCTACGTGGCGACGTTCTATAGGACCTCTAATATGTGTTGACTTTGTAGGCCACATGCCTTGACTTACAAGGCAAGTTTTTCTATGTGTGGGCCACATAGTTAGCTTGGTCTTTAAGCTAGTAACATGTATGGCACATGGCCAACTTATTGACGACGTTTCTAATCCCAAAAAGTCAATTAAAGACACCTATAAAGTCAAAGCAGTGTCTATAAAGCTTCTAGGAAGCTTTCATACCAAATACTATAGAATTAACTTATTTTTATCTACTTTTATTTACTTCTACCTATTTATACATATAATTACTAGCTTACATGCGTATGTCCATGACATTACCCCCCATTCTAGGGACAAGTTCCACGAGGAGCGGTAATCATATATTGAGGAAATCTACAATGAGACAAATTGTATTTTCCACATACTCTGATCTTCGTTCTCTTCGAAGATAATTGATACGGCCTCTCAACCATCGGTAGTGTCCCATACAAGGGCGGAAAGACCACCCAATTATTTGATCATTGTTGAGGCCTTCATAACTTCCTTTGAATAAAACATTTGGAATACCATGAAGAGTTGTTCCTACCTCTAGTAAAATCACCAAACATTGGGAGTCCCTTCCAAGATTGTGATACCAAACGCATTGTATCTCGCTATCTATTCAAGGAAGAACATGTCGTTCTTGAAGATCTTCATCTCGATTGCATTGTCTTCAAGGTTGTGACAATCGTAATGTCTCGTTTGACAGATCAACAAACGAAGGCTCTTGAGTCGAATCCACTCGTTGTTGATTTTCCATCTCATGAGCATCACAACTATGAAGAAGCTACAAACAAGGATTGAAAGTAGAATGTTATCTTGCCTAAATCTTGTTTCTTTTATAAAGAAGATTTTCATCTTGCTTTTGATGGATGTCGTCAATGAAAAGCCTCTATTGCCTTTGCTGCATTTGTAAGATTCTTTACTGGCTCCCATGTGCATTGTTGTATTACGTGCTAACTTGCTTGAAAACGTGCTGGGCGTCTGGCTGTAGGAGGTAGTATGGTATTTCGCTAGTACTCAAGCAGTCTATCGGGTTCTTGACTATCCAAATATAATCTATATCGGATTGCAATGTAAAAGCTTGATTCCAATATAAAATGCCTAGAGACCCTATATAACTTCAATCTCTTTTGTTATTTTTATTTTATTTTATTTATTTTATGTTTTTTATTTTATCTTTATCGTTAATTATTTTAATCCTAGACCGTGAACTTCGACAAGCTGTGATCCTCAATCTGCCCTTCCGACTTGTTGTGAAACATCTATCACTAGTGTCTCTTCAAACCCTTTCGAATGCTCAAGAAGTTCCAGTTCAATCTTGCTCACAGATTGTGAGGCTATGCTGCAATCCGTACCGATGTCCCTTGGTCGCTTGTCGATATTCCTCTTATCCTTGTTGGTAGGTCCCCAGTTATCATAGAAACCTTAAACAAACTCCAATTCGCCAACTCCCAAAACCTCTTTAAATTGTTGGCAGATATCCTCTATCCGTACAGTCAGATTAACACAACCACACATGCATTCAGCATACTCAACCTTCTAGACAACTCTGAATTTCAACCACAGAAGTATCCCCCATTCGAACAACAATCTAGAGTACCAACCTTTTCTTCTCTTACGAAAAATCCAGTTCACCAATATATCACTGACTTTCAGCAATGATTGCCTCAGTCTTCCCAAAACCCTATGAAGAAAAAAAAACCCCCAGCTCTCTGTCTTTTTTAGCGTGAAGCTAGCTCTCCGACTCTTAAAACCCTGATTCTCCTCCCTTCATTTCTTAACCTATCCTCCCCTTTAACCCTGAAAAGATTCTATTCTTTCACCTTGGATTCTTCGAATTGGAACAGCTGACGGAGCTTTCTTCCCCCCATTTTTATTTTTAAGAGATCTTTTTACTCAAAGGATATTCCTAGAACAGTACAAAGAATCGGAACAACCTGAAACGAAATCGAAGCCCATAATCAGACCACATTGGGTTGCCCGACCAAGTTAGGTCTCATATTGGGTAAGAGGCCTGTAATAGGACCCGGATTCGAGGTCTTCTGAAATTGGATCCAATTGGCTCTTTGAACCAGGCTCACCCATCGTTGAATTGGTTCTTTCCCTTTCTGCTGACTCCCGTTTTTGGAATTGAACGGAGCATTTCGTTACTGGTAAGTATGCCCCGGCTGACTGTAACGGGGTGACTGAACCTGACCTCTCAATATTTGCACTAGAATTGGCCATCGCTTCTAACACCCAAGGTGACTAAATATTAATAAGTCTTCTTCATTTATATTTTCATCATATAGACGTGTTATAATATGACATCCACCTCCTCTGAACTTGTGCATCCTCCGGTATGCACCAATTCACGGTCTACGATTAAGATAATTAACGATAAAGATAAAATAAAAAACATAAAATAAATAAAATAAAATAAAAATAACAAAAGAGATTGAAGTTATATAGGGTCTCTAGGCGTTTTATATTAGAATTAAGCTTTTACATTGCAATCCGATATAGATTGTATTTGGATAGTCAAGAACACGATAGACTGCTTGAATACTAGCGAAATACCATATTACCTCCTACAGCCAGATGCCCGGCACGTTCTCAAGCAAGTTAGCACGTAATATGACAGCGTTCACTAATGTCATATCCGTGCCAATGGACAAGATATTCCAATTTGTTTCGATGTCGCCTTGAATCTAAGACTTCTTCCACTTCAAACTCTTTATTATTGTCCACTTCTATAAGAGGAGGTGGAGCTTGTCTTCTTCTTGGTATGTCCACTGTCTTGTATGGTTCAAAAAGAGACACATGAAATATTGGATGGATTTTTATTGACTCCGGTAGGTGTAAACGATATGCAACTCGATTGATTTATGTAGAAATAGAAAATGGTCCAAGCCTTCGATAGTCCAACTTGTCACAAGCATGAGTGGTCTTGATATTGCGACAAAGTAACCATACCTTATCACCTATGTAGAATGGTGGTTGTTCATTTTGATAGACATCCGCATTGACCTTTTTATTGTTCTTGAGCTTTTTTTAACTATGCCTTTATAGTTGCATGTAACTC